AGTTTTCTTTAAAAATCTCCAGTAAAATAAATCCATAATACAACCATCCAAATTTGTATGCCCTTCCCTTAAGCTAAAAAAAAAAAACTAAACGAGCAACGAATATATCCACAGATGAGTTTATGTTTTTGTTAGTAACTATGGTATTGGTTAAGGAAAAAGGGGATCTGTCTTTATTATTATCACTCATTGCTGCTACATTCCATAGAAATTCCATTCATATATTGCTCCCGTTAAAGGCATCATACCAGAGTTGTACAATACCCACTGGCTGATATCAGAATGCTACTGAAGCATTAATGTCACTCCAATATCTCAGCACCTGAACATATTGGTCTAACCTCACAGTCCCACTTCTCCAGAGAGTGAAGTCAGCACTCTGATTGGGCTTGGAGAAGCATTACTGGGCCAAGGCCTGAGTCAACTAATTAAAACTTTGCATGTTGGAACTAATTGTCTCCCAGAGCCATTCTTCTAACACATCCTGTGATGAAAATGAATACTAATTCCAGGACTGCCCAGAATCTGTAATTTAATTAACATTAATAAAAACAGTACTGAAAGAGTGAACCTTTAACGTGCTTTAACGTGTTTTTTTTCTCTTCTTTTTTTTCATGTCCCTAAAGAGAGACTTCTGAACTGGGGCATTTTTCCAAGGGGTCGACTGCCTGCAGGTTATTTGAGCTTTCATTGGGATCTGTCTGACTTTCTTAATGTTTCACATTATAATTCTTCACATTTTGTCTGTTTTGCATTTGATAAGCCAGTTTTGATGATAGAATGTAGACTCCTTAGTTAATAGCTGCATGCTATACTCTGTTTTGCCCATTTATTGTACTGATGTATTCTGTTTCCATTTTATTTGATTCTGGCTGATAGCTTATAGCTTACTTGATTGCATTCTCTGATTTGTGTAATTATTGTCATGAAGTGTAATCAGAGATAGCCCACCTTAAAATGTGTTTGTGGGTGTGTAAGCAGAACAATGTTTTACTCTGTGTATTTGTTGAAAGAACCAAGAGATGCAAATGAAACAAAAGATAGTCTGAACAAGACAAAAGAATAAAAGCTTGACGTATACAAGTGTGTCTACCAGATTTTTTGTGGACAATTAGTAATTTTGGTCAGTTAGTGGTACTATAGTCAGTATCAAGTGAAATGATCCGTGTGACGCTTATCAGTTCATTTTTCCACATAAAAAATGAAAATTAGGAAACTGAAGAAATGAATTCAATTTCCCAAAATTGTATTTTTCTTCTGTCGAATCAATGTATAGTTAAGATTTTGAAGTCATTTTTCCAATTTTCTATATGTGGAATGTTGAATAGATAAACAGAAAATAGAATAATTGAAAATTGGACTATTTTTTATTTCTATTTGTGTGTTGGGCTGTCTGAGGGTGGGCTCTATGCACCAGACTTAATGCTGATTGGTTGGTGAGGTTGCCTCATTTTAGGATTTTACATCCGGTCATAGCCAAAGTTAGATACCACTGTTGCAGGTGAGTCTCATCGGTTTTTCCCTCTAAATGCATATTTATCAGAGATGGCAATTCATAGGGAAGACTCTGTGTTTATTCAAATATACACCATATAACTTGAGAGTACGGATGCACGATATTGGATTTTTTGCCAATATGCCTCCATATATCAACTCATTTGGCTGACAACCAATACCAATACTGATATAGCCACGTTTTTCCCCACCTAATTTTAGTGATCATCAAGTCTCTTCTGGAGTGGAATTATCATCATATTATGCATGCATACTCTTTTCATGATGGCCCAGCAGATGGAGATGAAATAAAATACTGATATATCCACTTCTTTACCTGCCTAAATGTAGTGATCATCAACTTTGATGCTCATGTCATTAATATGCAATGCTAAAAGAATACTTTTAAGGTGGCACAGTGGAGCAGTGGTTAACACTGCTGCGTCACCGTAAGAGGGTTCTGGGTTCTAACCCGCCTGCCAGCTAGAGGTCCTTCTGTGTGGAGTTTGCATGTTCTTCCCATGTTAGCCTGTGTTTTCTCTGGGTTCCCTGGCTTCCTCCTGCAGTCCAAAGACTTGCAGGTTAGATTACTGGTGACTCTAAAAAATTAGGGTGGTTCCTTAAATACTGATACTGTCACAGTGGGCACTGTTTACCTGCCATAAATGCCATCTTCTCAGCTCATTCAGTAGTTTTCTACTCTCCCCACCTCTCCACCACACCTACCTGCCAGCTTATCACCTGTCCTCACATTTCCAGTGCCTCTCACCTGTGGATCATTACCACCTGTCACTATAAAGACTCTCACATCACAGACTCTCCTTGCCAGATTGTTCTTTGCCTTCATGCAAGACCTTTCAGCATTTGTTTGCGGACTACTTCCTCATCACTTCCCCTGCCTGCCCCTGATTCTCCTGTTTCATCTGCTCCCCGGTAAACCACTCCAACTTCTGTCCTCCTCAAGAGCTCTGCTTCTGCCTTCCTGGCTCCTGTTCACCTGTGTTCTGTGGCGAGAGACAGCTCTCCAAAGTAAGTTTACCAGTTCAGTTACCTGTGATCTTCTGGAAGATCAGCAGTTCCCCGGCTCCTCCAGTCTACATGTCAAAGTATCCTTGAGCAAGATACTGAACCCCAAATTGCTCCTGATGATGCTTCCATCAGTGTGTGTGTGTGTGTGTTAAAAACCAAGTAGCAGGTGGCACTTTGTATCGTAGCCTCAGCCACCAGTGTATGAATGCATGTGTGTGTGAATGTGGCTCGTACTGTAAAAAGCGCTTTGAGTGGTCAGATGGCCAGAAAGGTGCTCTACAAATGCAGGTCCATTTACCATCCTTTACCATTCCGTGCTGTGGATTGCTTGGCTGCACATTCCGCCTTTTTGTGTGCGCTGCAGATTCCACTCATCATTGCTGGTGACAAACTCTGCTGCCCCATCCATGGCTGGCTTCGCATCGGTGAGACTGTTCCTCCTGTGAGTAGCTACACCTTGTTTTCAAATTCCTGCTCGTCTGACATCACTCTCTGTCTGCCCCCTCATAGTACCATTGCACATAATTTAACTGTCTGCTGTGTGTTTGTGTCCAGCAAGTGCCAGCTCCTCACTTGTTTTCCGCTCTGGCGTACCATGCCGAGGTCTGTGGACTGCCTCCGAATCCCTGAAAGCTCTGAACATGAACATTGACTCTCTCAGCAGCTTTACCACCCTGTTCTCCCTGTATTTGTTTAATTGGTGCATTAAAGCTCAGTTTAAACTGTTCAGTCTGTCTACGGTGCTGCTTTTGGGTCTTAAACTCACCTGTTACAGATACTACATTTTCATTTTGAAGATCCATGTTAGCGTCAATAGGATTGATACCAATAATCTCTTCTACATCATACCTATTTGTATTTGAGAGCAAAACTGTGTAAACAACATTCCTTTGTCGTGAACACATCTAGTGCATGTACTCACTTCTTCACCACTGATCTTGTGTTCACTCAGTCAACTTAAGATCCAGCAGTGTCTTCTTAGTTTCACTTTCACCCGATGTCAGCAGTAGGATACGCTCACCTCCTAGCCCTCCTATTTACTGCTGTGAGATGATGTGGACCCTCAATTGTACTATGAATAGAACCGCGTGCGCATCAGTGTGACTGCAGCTGTCCGCTGACATTTAATGTGGATAGTATTTCCGAGCCTGACTACTTTTATCCAATACATTATAGCAGTGATGGATTAATGAAAGAGGAAAAAACATGAGAAAGTGAACTTGGAGCTGCAACTAAAAGAAGGGGAGAGGATGGAAACACCTCAGCATCCAGACCTCTGACAAAGAGTTCACTGACAGAGTCTGTTTGGAGAGGCTCAGTGTAATTTGTCATCACTTGCTTTTACCTAAGCAGATTGATATATTTACCTAAATCATGAAATACCACTTCCCCCCACATAAAAAAAGCCACTTTAAAAAAAAAAGGAGCGTATCAGTATGGGTATCGCTGATTCTGGCCCTGTATTATTTGGTAATGGATTGAAACCAATTTGTGGTATTGCCCACCCCTGCCCTGATGTACCCTGCCATTCACACAATGTCAGCTGGGACAGGTTCATGACCCTTAATAGGATAAGCGGTTACGGATAATGAATTAATGACTGAATGAATGAAGTACTTGTAATAGCCAAGTTTTCAGGGATTTTAGTGTACAACTATAAATCAAGCTTCGGGGTAAGATGGGGGTGGTGGATGGGTGTGGAAGCTTTCTGATTTGATGACAGAGACTTTGATTCAGGTTGTATAAAAGTGTCAATCTGTCATCCCTGTACAATCTTAACTAGCACGGTTGTATGAATGCTTATTTTATTTATTTTGACATTGAACCTGCCATTTAAGGTTCAGAGGTTTTGTATTATAGAAAATATAAAATGAATAATCCGCATTGTGTTTGTTGAGGGGTTTGTTACAATCACTTCTATCAGTGTTGTTTATTGATAAAAGCCTCCGTCTGCATCTCCAGCCCCTATAACGAAAATGCTCTAAAATTTTCAATTGACCTTCATTCTCTCAGGGTTCAAATAAATGAGGTTGCACTGTAATAAGAATTCCAAACTCTCATGTGCGTGCTGAGTGGATGGCTGAATAGGATTGGCTCTTCAGTTCCACAAATAAACAATGACAAATTAATTACTGGAACTTAACGAAACTGTCACGGCAAGCCGAGGAGACAAGCTGAGTGGCTCAAAGTTTATCCCCTGTCAAATTACTGTCTTGCCATGTTCCTCATTACTAATCCTGCAGAACGAAACAGGACTGAAACCAGTCTGCATTCTCTCTCTAATTGTCTTGTCAGATCATTTCCACAGGCACTGACTATTAGAGACTGAGAAGAGAATATATTATTGTCTGTGGCAGAATGGATTGGCAAATCTGGAGAGCAAATTAAAAAGCAGTGATTGAAACACTGTTGTAGACTGTATTAGAAGTTAGAGTGTGGAGGGAAACACTCTGAGGTCATTAAAGAGCTACTCTACCCCCAGATACACTGAAATATCATCAGTCTCCATCCATCCATCCATCCATCCATCCATCCATCCATCCATCCAAGGCTGGTAAAATCATCTTATTTCACGCTGTCTGACAGTGTCATACATTTCTGAATGACTGCTCCAGGTATTTATGGATGCTACATTATGTCTACACTAAGGGAAATATTCAAACTCAAAACTACATGTTTTTATGGCTGCATCATTCAATCAAATATAAATATTCAGCCTTGGGACTCTTTTTCTAAACTTTTCCCAAAATGCAATGCAGAATTTTGCTTGTATTTATAAAATGGTTCACCTGTTACTCACTGGCAGTATACAGTGTACACCCCAGCCTTACTCACACTTTGCCAGATTGTTCTTCCCCACCCATGCAAGACTCTCCAGCACTTTTTGTCCAGACTGATTTCCCATTGCTCACCCTGCCTGCCTCTTCTGATTCCTAATTATTGCACCAGCCTTCTGTCCCCGACCTTGAGATCTGCTTCTGTGTCCTTGGTTCCTGTTTGCCTGTGGCTGCTTGGCATTCTCAATCCGCAGCCTGGCCTCGACCTACCCTCAGCCTGTCCCCTACTAGTTTTTCTGCTTGGACTGTGCACTTACTTGGTTACAGATCTTCTGCCTTCACGATTACGTCTCTTGCCTGCCCCTACATGGTACCTTTGCCTGTTATTGAACTCAACAGTGTGTGTGTGTTTGGGCAAACATCACTGCCCACTCTCCTGCTTCCTGGCTCAGTTTAGCCTGCCAAACCAGCTTAGCTTCCAGAGTCTTTGTGGAGAGACTTTGCTGTAGTGTTCCTGTGTGCTGCAACTGGATCCAAACACAACCTGTTACAGTAAGTACAAAGTATAATGTTTGCATGGTTTTTTTTTCTTTTACATAATATGACCAGTGATGGGAATAACGGCAATATAAATAAACGGCGTTACTAACAGCGCTACTTTTTTCAGTAACAAGTAATCAAAAATGTTACCGTCTCCCCCGTTATACCACTGTTACCATTACTCAGAATAAAATGTGCCGTTACTTGGCTTTACTTGAGTTCACTGAAGCAGCTTTCACCCAAGCAAGCTCCTTCTCAGCAGAGCTCTAACGTTTTTCTTCTTTGGTGATGGCAGGTGAGGGGGCAGCATAAGTGATGATGATTGGCTTAGGGAGAGTAAAATTTCATCATAAACCAATCAGAGGCAGAGTAGGGTGGGTAATCACAAGCACATAAGCAGGGTTGTCAGGTCTGCTTATTAGCCACGACTTTGAGCTTGTTTTTTTGTAAAGTCGCTTACAAATATTGGTAGTTGTGGGTTGCGGTTCTTTGGGTTTGTTTCTAAAGTGGAGTTGCTTATTTGGGCTTGCTCTCTAAACTTCACCTTTCTCTATATATATCCGTCTAATAAGTTATTTAAACTCATGATAGTATTGTCGGACTGCAGGATGTTTCCACAGCTCCGCTCCCTCTGCCCCTCTCCTTCTCCACATACACACAGGTGACGGTCAGTCAGTGAGACTTTTCACATTTAAATCGTGCGATTAATGGAGGTTCTTTAATTAACTAGTGTAGATAAGTGTACAATGTTATATACTAATGATTTATTCTAATAAGTGTCAATTTCATTCATTTAACATATTCAGTGTTGAGTTTCATTATATACAGTTGAGTTTCATTACAGTTCCATTAAGGGGGGGTGTCCAAGCAATTTGACATATTTGAGCATTTTATAAAAAAGTAACGCTATGGTTACTTTTCCAGGTAATTCGTTACTTTTATAGTGCAGTAACTCAGTTACTAACTCAGTTACTTTTGGGGAAAGTAACTAGTAACTATAACTAATTACTTTTTAAAGTAACGTTTCCAACACTGAATATGACCCATGACTGCCCTTTGCTTTCTTATTGATGTTATATCAATGTTCCTGTGCAATCTGCTCTGCCTGAGCCTGTGTCTCATCTGGTTCATAGTCCTGAGACCCCAGACATGTTCCTGGTCTTTCCTGAGTACTGTGACCTCCAGGCAGTCTTCAGTAAGCAAGAAGTCCTCTCTCCACCTCCTCATAACCCTTAGGACTGCACCATCTGTCTGTTGCCCAAAACTCCTATCCCTTCAGCTTTCTTTAAAACCTCTCCAAGCCAGAATGGGAAGCTACAGAGACTTTCTCTAATGACTTCTTGGTTGCAGGGATAATCTGTTCTTCCTCTTTGCCCCTTGATGCTGGCTACTTCTTTAGTGATTAGAAGGATAAAAATCTCCATCCATACATGGACTTCAGAGGACTAAACAACATTATAGTAAAACATAAAATAACCCCTGCCGTTTCCTGAACTTTGCTTTTGATTCACTCCAGGGAGCTGCAGCTGTCGCCAAGCTGGATCTCTGTAATGCATATCATCAGTTCATATGTGAGAAGGAGATGAATGAGAGACGGTCTTCAATACACCCCTGGGTCACTATGAAATCCTTGTGGTGCTGTTTGGACTCACCAGTGCCCAGTCATCTTCCAGCACTTGATAAGCAATGTCTTTAGAGACCTGTTGGATTGTCTTGTGTTTATTTAACTGAATGACATTCTGATCTTTTCCAAAGACCTTTCTGAGCATTTTCTGCATTTCTGTGATGTCCTCCAAGGGCATCTGGAGAATTGCCTGTTTGTAGAAGTAGAGCAATATGAGATTCATACCCCATTAGTTTCCCATCTGGGTTACATCATTGCCAAAGATCAGATGGACAAAACAAAGGTAAAAGTGGTCCTAGAGTGGCCCAGCCCAGACAGCCATAAGCAACTGCAAAGATTCCTGGTTCCTCCAGGAATTCAAGAACCTCGCCTCTGCACCCATTGTCCCAGGTCCTCTCACAACGTTCATCTGAGGATGGTAAGCTACATCCCTGTGCCTTTCTGTCTTACTGTCTCTCCTCTTGCAGAAATACATTTTGATATGGGAAACTCAGAGCTCCAAGCAGTGAAGCAGAACTTTTGTAACCAGAAAAGGTTACGCAAATCCTTCCAGCCGTTGGAGGAATGGTGGCATTCCTCCAACGGCTGGAAGGATTTGCGTAACCTTTTCTAGTATGGACTTACCATAAGAACCTTGTACATATCCAATCTACAAAGAGTCTCAACTCTAATGAGCACTCTTCTTTTAACTTCACATTAACTTACTGTGTATGGAGTGTGTGTGTCCAACTACTCTGATTGCATAGCTTCAGATGT